ATTTCTTTTAGCCCCCATTCCGCTCGTATTTTGTTGGTTCTAGTTTATTATGAAATCTTGTTTTGTTTCTATCAAAAGAGAGTTTATAATCATTAAAAAAACAGAAAATAGTCAAAAAAAAAAAAAAAAGAAGGGCGAAAGGAGTCGAGAAAAAGAGAAGCCCGAAATTGTTTGGTTCTAGTTATTACGAAATTGGAAATTGTTTGGTTCTAGTTATTACAAAATTGGAAATTGTTTGGTTCTAGTTATTACGAAATTTTTTGTTTTCATCCATTTTTGGGTCCAATAAGCCCGAAAAAATCACCTCAACGCCCAAAATCAGATATTTTGTTATGGAAATCTTGTTATTTTGTTAATCAATTGCTATTTTGTTTTGGAAAGGACTCAACGGACTGATCGTACTCAACTTCAAGGAAGTTTAGATTGATGTAGATTGTATTAGCTCTGATACCAAATTGATGTAGATCGTATTAGTTCTAATACCAAATTGAAGTAGATCATAATAGGGAAAAATTAGGGATAAGAAGGGAAGAACAAAAGGATGAGAAAAAAAGAAGAATGTGAAGAGAATAAAAAGAGAATTTGAGGAAGAAGCAATATCAGGATTCAATATCAATAATCAATAATCAAAGGCGAATCTCACAACAAATATGCATCCCATATATATATAAAGAGTTCACAAATCCTATATATATAAGGAGATCACAAACCCTAAAATAAATAAATAATCAAAATAACAACTAAACTCTTAAAAGTTAAAAGAAAATACTTAAAAGATAAATATTAAATTACTCTCATGATTAATCTAAAATATCAATCCAATTCCTATACGAACCCTATCATTATTGGGACTTGAGCTAGACCCCTTGAAGTTGTGCTATGATTTGCATCATTCCCCTCCACTTGAAAAGGATTTGCCCTCAAATCATCACTATTGGAAATATTTTCTTTCAATTAAATTTTTATGCACATGCCTAATCTGACTTGTGGAGATATTTTCTTACTTGTAGGGCTTTCAAGCTCATCCAAATCTTAATATTTTTTAGATTTAGAGGAGTAGCAATTGACAAGCAGTCTGGGAGGAGATAAAGTAGAGCCAACTAGCTTTTATATTTAATAAATGAGCATGTTTTTAGAGATTTCTCAAGAAGAACCATACTTCGTATAGGTACGTAAGTGAGTGAGGTCCCCACAAGGATGTATATCTACGTGTATGTGTGATGCCTGCAGGGATTCAAGTGTGTGTGGTCCCAAAGGGGATGAAGGTGTGTGTGGTCCCTATGGGTACGTGTGTGTGTGTGCATGTGGCCCCTAAGGGAATGCAGGTGTGCATATGTGGTTTCCAAGGGATGTAGGTGTGTGTGGTCCCTACAAGGATCCAAGTGTGGGTGTGTGATCCTTACAGGGATACATATGAGTTTATTAATATTTATTGCGTGAAATATTTTGAAATATATGATTATTATACTTGTGACCTATTGAAAATATTTTCTTTAAATTAAATTTTTACGCAGATGCCTTGTCCAACTGGTGGAGATATTTTGTTACTTGTTGGGCTATTAAGCTAATCCAAATCTTAATATTTTTTAGATTTAGAGGAGTAGCAATTGACAGGCAGTCGGGGAAAAGATGAAGTATAGCCAACTAGCTTCTATATTTAATAAATGAGCATGTTTTTAGAGATTTCTTAAGAAGAACCATACTTCGTATAGGTACGTAAGTGAGTGAGGTCCCCACAAGGATGCATATCTGCGTGTATGTGTGATGCCTACAAGGATCCAAGTGTGTGTGGTCCCAATGGGGATGAAGGCGTGTGTGGTCCCTATGGGTACCCGTGTGTGTGCATGTGGCCCCTATGGGAATGCAGGCATGCATGTGTGGTCTCCATGTGATGCAGGTGTGTGCAGTCCCTACAAAGACTCAAGTGTGCACGTAGGGTCCTTACGAGGATCCAAGTGTGGATGTGTGATCCTTACAGGGATACATATGAGTTTGTTAATATTAATTGCGTGAAATATTTTGAAATATATGATTATTCTTCTTGTAACCTATTGGAAATATTTTCTTTAAATTAAACTTTTACACACATGCCTAGTCCGACTGGTGGAGATATTTTGTTACTTGTAGGGCTGTCAAGCTCATCCAAATCTTAATATTTTTTAGATTTACAAGAGTAGGAATTGACAAGCAGTCGGGAGGAGATGAAGTAAAGCCAACTAGCTCTTATATTTAATAAATGAGCATGTTTTAGAGATTTCTCAAGAAGAACCATACTTCATACAGGTACATAAGTGAGTAGGGTCCCCATAAGGATGCATATCTGCGTGTATGTGTGATGCCTACAGGGATCAAGGTGTGTGTTGTCCCAATAGGGATGAAGGTGTGTGTAATCCCTATGGTTACACATATGTGTGCATGTGGCCCCTATGGGAATGCATGTGTGCACGTGTTGTCTCCATGGGATGCAGGTGTGTGTGGTCCTTATAGAGACTCAAGTGTGCATGTGTGGTCCTACGAGGATCCAAGTGCAGGTGTGTGATCCTTACAGGGATACATATGAGTTTGTTAATATTGATTGCGTGAAATATTTTGAAATATATGATTATTCTTCTTATGACCTATTGGAAATATTTTCTTTAAATTAAATTTTTACGCACATGCCTAGTCCGACTAGTGGTGATATTTTGTTACTTGCTCGGTTGTCATGCTCATCCAAATGTTAATATTTTTTAGATTTAGAGGAGTAGGAATTGACAAGTAGTCGGGGAGGAGATAAACTAGAGCCAACTAGCTTTTATATTTAATATATGAGCATGTTTTCAGAGATTTCTCAAGAAGAACCATATTTCGGATAGGTTCGTAAGTGAGTGAGGTCCCCACAAGGATGCATATCTGCGTGTATGTGTGATGCTTGCAGGGATCCAGGTGTGTGTGGTTCCAATGGGGATGAAGGTATGTGTGGTCTCTATGGGTACACGGGTGTGAGCATGTTGCCCCTATGGGAATGCAAATGTGCATGTGTAGTGTCCATGGGATGCAGGTGTGTGTGGTCCCTACGAGGATCCAAATGTGGGTGTGTGATCCTTACAGGAATACATATGAGTTTGTTAATATTGATTGCGTGAAATATTTTGAAATATATGATTATTCTTCTTGTGACCTATTGGAAATATTTTCTTTAAATTAAATTTTTATGCACGTGCCTAGTCCGATTAGTGGAGATTTTTTGTTACTTGTTGGGCTGTCATGCTCATCCAAATCTTAATATTTTTAAGATTTAGTGGAGTAGCATTTGACAAGCAGTCGGGGAGGAGATGAAGTAGGGCCTAGTAGCTTTTATATTTAATAAATGAGCAAGTTTTTAGAGATTTCTCAAGAAGAACCATACTTCGTATTGTTTTGCAATTTCTTTGGAAATGGAGACTATTTAAATTTTGGTGGATTTATAGACTTGCTTGGATTACAAGTATGCTTTTGGATAATTGAACTCAATCAGCTGTTATTTCTATTTGTGAAATTTTGTTTTCTATTACCCTTATTGTCCAATTGAGATTTGTGTAAAGGATGTGGCCTTGCATGCCTTTGGCATTTGGTTCACCAAGGGCTTGCGGGGATTGTCATGCACCTGAGCCCATACTTAGGTTTGGGGCTTGACATTTCGTCCCTGCTGTGTGTGTACATATAATATACATTATTATAGTGTCACGGGTTAGAGAGAATAGAAACATGGAATTGAGATCATCTCCAATATATTTTTTCTTCAATTTCTTTCTTGACGGAGTATAATGCACTGAAGTGGGACTCATTATAAACAAATGACTCCTTTACTCATTAAAAATATATATTGATGGGACGTTGAGTCTAAAAAGATGTATTTCTGTGGGTGGGATGAATTGCTATGGGGTAGGCCTCACAACTCGGAACGAAGTGTTTTTAGGTGTTCTTTTTATGCTTATTACAAGTTATATTCACACTTTCCTGGTTGGTGTGTCAATGGATCAATTATGTTAGTTTTATAGTGAAGCTTCATATTTATTTAGTTATTCACAAAAATATATCAAATAAATTTGACTGCACATTTAATATGTAAGGTTAAGGGTAATATGGTTAGTTAGATGTTATTTTACACTTTTTGAGGTATTGCCACCAAACATATTCTCACATATAAGGATGCACTTCTTGATTTAGAAGCACTTTTAATTAGAGAAGTTGCGCTAAACACGACCTAAAACTACAGCCCAAGCCATCAAAAGTTCAGGTAAGAGCAACTAGACCCCATGAGGGTATTTTCGATGTAGTAAACTTGAACAATAGCCAAGGAAAGCAAGTGACAATAATGTGATACTCTGCAATGTTTTCACTATTCATTTCTTGGTAAATTCATAAAAACTGTTAAATTAGTGGGTATCATTAAATCATACTAATCATTCAATGACTGTGATTGTACCACTTATAATTGTTGTTATGCTACATCAGTTTATACGAAAAAATTAAAATAAAAACCTGATAAGAGCAGCATTATTTAGGAAGCAATACTAGGACACACGGATTGGTTCAAGGGTTCAACACTGGCCAAGGTTTAAAACTTGTATGTCTTAAATTTGAGTCCCACCTTGTTGTATAAGACCCAAGTTTACCCGAGGTACATAATTAGTGGATACGTTCATGCAGCTCAACCATGAGTCCAAAATACACGTGGTTGGAATGACTTTGTTTGAAAGAGATTATGGATTTGAAAAAATCTTCTAATAGTTTAAGCTTCTCCGCCTTTTAGGCACCTAACATAAGAGTACGTGAATTCATTTCTGAATTAAAATCTTGCACTTCATAGATGCATTAGAACTTGTTCAGACTGTTGCCTCATTTTCCTCATTGTTGAGCAAATGTGGCACATCTAGCATATCGGAAGGATGACCAGCAAGAGAGAATGCGAATAATGCTACTCTTACCCATTGTTGTACCGAAATCTCTATCTCAAATAACCTGACAGACTAACAACCGTCAAATAGGTGAATCCCATTAATGTTCAATCAGGATGCTTGTGTCACCTCATTTGGGATGGTGGATTTGGTATACGCATTTGGTAAGTGTAGGACATATATAACAAAGAAATAACAGAACAATTGATACACCATTCCCTTACATGACCTAAAAGGATTGTATACAACAAATGGTACAATGAAACAATATTTCTAATATGACTCACCAACAATATACCTAAAATCATTTTTGCTCCATTTGCTTTCTCAACCCTCCAAGAGGGCCATAATTTTTCTCCTTTACCTTCTTTTTGCTACAATTACAGCTACTGCTGTTAAAATTTGCTCCACATTTAAGACATAAGCCTTTGCACGCCGGATCACAAAGTGCATTAATGGTAATTTCCAAATGTACAAGGTCTCTTATGTTCTTCGAAATGTCAATGGTCTTTGCTTCAGGTGGAAAATACAGCCGATCATCGGAATCAACTGAATCTTCGTCATCTTCCTCCTCATCTTTGCTACTCCCAAAAGCCCTAAATTTATCTTCCCCAAAAATAACACCCATATTTATAATCTCAGGTTCTTCCATGCGTTCTTCAGTTAGCAAAAGTGTGAAGTTGGAATATATGCATTCAGCAGCTGGCTCGCCACACCTTCAACATAAAATCAAATCAGACATGGATGCCAAAAAAGAAAGAGTAGCTATATGTTCAATGCAGTGACTTAAGTAATGCAACCATGCATAATTCATTGATTGGACTCCAGGAGTTCAATAAAGATGCCATATGAAGGGAAACATTCTAAACCTGGCACTTGAAGTGAACAAGTCCATTTTGCAGAATGAAGTAAGCATTCTGTCAGTGTTTCATCTTGAGCCAGGAGGATCAAACTGACCATGAGATTCCCTGTTTACCTGAACTATACTGTTCAACTGGAAGGTCCCCTACCTCTCTATAATTTACACCTTGGTAAGAAGAAAGGCTTTTGGGGTATGTCAGTAGCAAAAACATGACAAATTTTCTCAGTCACCAATATGCTCAAAAAATGCCACAAGAAGAAAGCGAAGGTTTTAGTCAATTAATCAATAGCATTTGTGCTGTCGGTCAAATATATTACAATACATTTGTAGCGAACCCGATACTTATGTTACACACCCCTCTAACAACTTAAGGCTCTAAAGTAGTTGATGATTAAGATGATACAAAAAAAATCCTAAGATCAAACCACACCAACTACACCTCCCTTAATAAAACACAATCACGTGGGCCAACTACCTAAGAGGTACCCCATATGTAAGGGGGAGAATGAATGAACACTTATACTACACCTCCCTCAATCAGCTTAAACCTCTAAAGCATGTGGTGATTGACAAAAGTAGATGATGTCTGTAAGGGATAGAAGAGTCTGATTGACAAAGTTAAAGCTTATGTCAAAAGACAATGTAGCATTCTTTTGTATCAAAAGACATCAAGAGATGGATTGAAACGGATCAAGAGAAGGACCAAACTACATCAAGAGATGGATCCAAACATGTTCCTTCCTATTCTAATACTACAGGTATTTCATACTTCTCATATCAGATATACTGTAATTTTTAACATATCTAATCATGTAAAACAGACTCTGCCCATGTAGAAGAAAATGAAATAGCAAACTCTATTGCACAATCTCAATAATAATTCAACTACAGGAAATTTTTGTTTATTTTGTGGAAGAAGTCATCTGTGTCTAGGATAAAAACTGCAACCCCAACAGTAATTTTTCGCTGAATCAACTAAAACAAGATCAATTTGGTAATCACCCCCCCCCCCCAAAAAAAAAAAAAAAAGGAAAAGATAGGGAAGATTTAATATAATGGGTAATCCAATCCTCTACTAGATATAGCAATTAATAAAAAGTAACATGATAAGATGTACAAGAAAGTAAAAGTGAAAACAAAATGTGCTCCAAAACTTACGGACATCTTAGAAACGACATGCTGCTAGTGATATGAACCTGAAAATTAGAGTCACAAGAAAAAAATACTAACTGAATGATAGCAGCAAAGGTATAAAAGCACAGAGCTAGGTTGATGCGACACGTTTAGCACAAGATTTCATGGCAGATCAAGTTCGTTGAAAACAGCGATGATCGAGCGCCAGTGTCCGAAAATCTATCAAGACATCATTCCGGAAAACTCTCAACGAGCCGAGCAAAATTGAAACATATATCTTTCAAACCTTCATTTTTAAGCCAAAAAAACGACGTTTAGGCCACTTTTTAAGCACTTTTATATTCTATCCCGTCGTTTGGGGTATTTATTTAATATTTCGTATTTACTAGGGTTTCTTAGTAATTTAGGCCTGCTAGAGTTTAGTACTTAAACCATGTAAACACTGATTTCATCAGCTTTGATTTTGATTAAATAAAACTTAGAGACGAGTTCTCTTTTCATCTCAATTGCCTTTGTATTTTATGGAATCAACAAGACAGAAAGCTCTAATCTGGTATTATTGCGATAATCAACAGGTTATACCTTCTGTTGTTTAATCTCGGTTTTGTACCCACACTGCCCTGCATCACTGCAAAGTAGCAGGCTGTTGATACATGGCTCGACTGTCCAAGAAGGAGCTTGATAGGTCTAATGATAGGGTATTAGACCTATCACAACCAGCAAGCTGTTAGGGTATTAAAAGAGTAACACATGCCTAATAATGGTTCCAAATTAATCTTCTTTAAGAATCTCTATATTTCTAGATGTGTAGTCCATGTTTGATTGGTGAAATTGCTAAATATGACAAATTTGAAAACGTGAAAGGGACAATGCTTAAAGTGGTGCCACGTTACTAATACTAGTCCATCTTTCACCAGCCAAGCATAGCACCCAGGCTTTATCAGAAATTCAACAATTTTGCCTTCAGTTCGGCTTGTACCATGTGAAAAACTTAAATGACCACAAATCTGGCGAGGAAATTGAGTAGCTCTGCTTACTTTATGCCTTAAACAAAAACTTCATACAAAGACACCGTAAAATTCGTCTTACAACCCCAAAGCTTCCATTTTGTTGGAAGAATAACGTAATGGTTCTAACAATAACTTCAAAGCTAATCAAAAAGGTACAAAATCATATGCAAATTCATGAAAGAATCAGAGCACAAGTGAATGCAGGTTTTGGAAAAGGAAAAAGAGAAGAGAAAACAACAAAAGGAATTAGAAATTTAGAAACATATATTTGGTAAGTAAACAAATACCTATTGCAACCGAGAGTGATAACCGTCCGTATGATCCCATCTAGCCTCAATTTCTGCTTCTTCCTGGTCACGTCAACAGATATCAAAACAGGTGTTCCTAGTGGAAAATCCTTCACGGCTTTTGAGACCCGTAGTCCCATCAAGGAAGCTCGAGATTTGGAAACTTGAGTTGAAAGAATTCCTAATCCCAGCCTTTCCAAGGTGGTGCAGTACTCCACATGTGAGATGGAGGGGTTCCTCTGATACATAACAGCCCCTTCCCATGGGGATCCTATGTCATCTATCTCTTCTAGATCTTGATCCCTCCAATCATCAGTGACCTTGCTTTCCTCACCAAACAACTCTGCATTGGAGCTGATGCATTCTCTGGCTATCAACTTCAAGGTACTTGGTGGTTTGTTTTTCACAATTATGGGAATATTCTTGATTGCAGAAAAGAACTTTTTTGGAATATTGTGACGAAAAAAAGTGCAGGTTGGGTTTGGCAAAGGATTTCTTTGGAATATCAAATCATTTAGCTTGAGGTGCTGAACATGAGAAGATGGAAGTATGGATGATGAAGACAATGTCAGAAGCATTTTAACTTATCTTACTTCTACTGGGTTTGGGGCAACCTATGGAGTTGAAGTAGTTTAAGGTCCAAATAATTATGCAATTCAATTTGGCATTCCAGGAAATCCTGGACAGGGAGCTGTGAGGTGTGCCAATACTTGTGACTCTGGTGGCATTTAACGAACAGAATTCAAAGAGGTAGAGTTGTTAGTGGTAAGAACCAATTTCTGCATGAATAACAACAACGTTGTATCAATAAACTTCATTATTCAACTGTATGAATTGGCATCTTATCTAAAACATTCTTATTAGTAGATGGTCAGTTTATTGCATTTACATTCTAGATGGGTCAAATATTAAATTTGAGTAATAACACATTAGAAGAGGGTCTTATTCAGTATGTAACATATTGAATAGGTTAGCCATTTTGAGATCAAAATTGTATTTTCCTTGCACATGAGATCCTGTATTCTTGTTTTAAGAAGTACTTATTTTATTTGCTTTAATTATATACTTCAAAAGCACATTTTAAAAAATAAAAAATCACATATTTAACCCAGCATATCTGTGTATCCTAGACATATCGGTCTGTTCTCCAAATATATCCAAAATTGAAAAATATTTTAAAACATTCAAGATGTATCCAGTCAAATCTAGTATGCATCTAGCACAACGGGGCATATTCATCTCCAATAAGTATTGGATACTCAAGTCCTACTGAAGTATCCATACATCACATATTGCCTCAATATGGAACCAAAATTTCACGGTTGATACCCGACGCTGTCACAATGCACTTTCAAAATTCAGTGAAAGTAATCCCTCCATTATCTACACAAAGAAATAGATGGACTTGAAGAAATTTAGCCTCAGGCAATCCTTCATATAAAACAATCCATTCCCAATTTCTTGTTGTCTTCTGTCTTAGTAAGAACACATACTACGACAAACAGTGCAACAAGGAAACAGTGCAATAGCTATTGGCAAATATTGCTGGAAAACAGAAAACAGATTCAGCATATTCGTGTGAAAAGAGGCTTCCTCAAAGAAGAGGAACTTGCTGAAACCTAGTGCTTGAGCAGAAATGAAGCAATTGAAAATCATTATAAGTAGAAAACTCACCTGGTAATTATAAGACAAAATTTTCGAAGAATAAGTTGATGATTATGGTAAGCGTTCGAAAAGATATTTTAATTCTGCTTTTTTTCTTTTGCCGACTACCGATATTTGACATAGAAAAAACGAAAATCATACCTTCCACACAGTGAGGCATTAGAACACACACACAAACACCTTAAATGACAGAGCCAACCCATTAGTCTAGACATTCTATCAAACACAAAGAAGGCAAGCCACTGGACATTCTATCAAACACAAGGCAGGCAAGCCATTGGATGAATTCAAACCAAAAGGCTCAAGCTATTCAAAAGACACTCTTTCACACACACACACGCGCGCACATGTAGAGTCTAACAAGTTTTTGCATAGAAAGGGCATAATACAATGCTCACTCACATATAGCGTTTATTCCTCCGGCAAAATGCATCTACGAATTGCTCTCAACTCCAAGCATTTACAATTGGAGAGCTAAGACTTGAAAGTGTAGTGGTGGAAGGGATTAGGATCTGTGTTAGGTATATACCGCTATTGTATTTCGGTTATAGGTGTGCGTGGTGTGAAAGAGTGCAAGAAAACGGTGACACTGTCACCGGTATCACTATTTAATAATAAACATTTACAAGTGGATGGATAAAATGAATTTTATTTTTGTAAATAAGTTAGTAATTATTTTAAATGGATGAATAGAATTATTATAAAATTATATGGAGTTTATTTACCTATGTATTTGTTTATTATTGAATAATGACATAAGGTGAAGACTCAATCTCACATTGATTAGTGAAATGCATCTAGAGTGGTATATAATGGAGAGTTTTATATCTTTATTAAACAATACGTTTTAAAATAGAGCAAACTTAGTCCAGCAAAGCAAATGGGGGCCGAAGCTTTATATTAGAGCCATTGACCCTTGTGGTGTGGAGGTCATCTACAACTGCATCCTTGGTGCGCCCAGTTCGACTGGACAATGGCTTGAGATAGTGGTAACTAGTGTGGTGGGAGTAATCCTTGGAAGCCCACACCACCCCAGTCAAGGTAGGGCCCAAACGAGGACGTTTAAGTTTAAGGGAGATTGGATTGTGATGCCCTAATCCCACATCAACTAGTGGAGTGGGCGTGTAGTATTACATAAGTATGAATTTTAGACTTTTATTATATAATGCACTTTAAAGCTGCAAGGACCTAAATTAAAACTGACAATATTATACAACACGAATTCAGGGCATTACGCACAATATGGCAATGATAACGTAATAGTACCGTTATGAATGATTAATTACAAATGATAATGTAGTTAAAAGAAAATTATCTATGGTTAAGGTGTCATAGATCTACAGGTATGGACATATCTTCCCTCACACTAAAATTATTATTGCAAAATGTATAGATAGTGGAATATTTTTTCATTGACCACAATGTCCCCTATATTAGATAATCTAATGACCATGAGCTCCTTTTAGTCAATCAATGGAGTCAACAAATTAGCTGATTTCCTGGTAGTTTGTCATTTGACTATCTTAAAATGATCAAGCTCATTTCTGATCAAGTGCCACATGTCATTGTCCTGAAGGTTTTTCTTATGAGAACGATAGTAATCCTCCATAGAGGCAGTGCCGGCTCAATAGTAGAAGAAAAAAATGTCTAAAAAAAAATTCCTAAAAGAATAAATTAATAAAAATAATTTTAAATTTTAAGTTTAAAAGTCCAACCGACTCCATACAATCACATTTATTTAAGGACAAAAAAAGGTGAAGAAGAAACTCTATATCATCAATCTTTTTAAAACTTTCTCCTATCATCAAAAATAAAGCATCAATTTTTTTCTCTCTTGTACAAAAACAAAAACAAATCTAACACATTTTTTGTTTCTCTCAAACTCAATTTTTTATTATTTAAGCACAAAACACCAATAAATTTATTCATTCTCATAAAGAATTCAAAATAAAAATTGATTTAAAATTTTAGAATATTAATAAATATAAAAATAAACCTCATTAACACTTATCGCTTTAGACTTCACATGTTCTTGAGTTGCCATGGATTAAGAACCTACAAACCTTGCTCTCTGTGTCTTGCCCTCAACTTGGGTTTGTTTTTTAAAATTTTCCATCATCGTTCTGAGTTGGTTGCACAATTATACCTTCCAGTTTGGTGATGTAACCTTTTACCATATCTTTCTTATCCAGCAACATAGATACCTTGCTTTCTTAGCTCCTAGGTTACCTTCAAATTGATTGACCAAGTATTGAAAAAGAGAAAAGGGTGAATTAGATTTTTTACCTTGAAAGATTTTAAAATTTTTATTTTATATCTTCTGTAAGTGGTAAAATTGAAATACCTCCTAGGTTTGATGAAGAAAATTGTATTCCTCTTTCAAAGCCTCCGCTTACAAAAATGAACAAACTGCCTAGGACAAAAGTGCTTCGATCGAAGACATTCCAATGCTTAAGTCAGTAACTGTATATGAAGGATATGTATGCAAAGAGGATTCTACTTACCTTTCACAATGCATCTTGCCTGCTTTATATAAATTTCGTCTTGTTTCTAGGGTTTCCTTAGCCGGTGGGGGAGATGGCACATATCTCTTTATCTGGAAATGTTTGTTAGGGATCGCTCAAATCTCTTCAGACGTTCCCTTGATTGCAGTTCTTCTAAGTCATTGACTTTGCTTAGTTGGCGCACCATAATTTCCTAATTATAGGCGTTTTTCCTATTGATCAACTTAGGCCATGCTTTCAAACAGAGCTGTGCATTTATGCTCGGTATTATGAACCGAGCTGTCATAGTTCAGTTCAGCTCATACCTAATTGCTTCTATCTATGACCCACATGACTTGTTCTTTTAAGAACACTGATGAGCATAGAATATTGCACATCATGTATATCTTTACACCCATTTTATACTTGCTTTTGTAGTGAAAATGGGAAAAAAATGTGTTTAATCTAACATTTAATGGAGTTTTGTGTGATTGTAAGTAAAGAGTAGGTAATGGTGTGTATTAAGTCCCCCATCAAGTGCTTAAAGGCAATGGAGAAGAAGGGGAGGCTTAACGGATAGCTCGAGACATCAATAGACTAAGGAATACCAAAACATGAGAAAAACTACTGGTAAAAGTTCATTAAAACCTACCAATAGGTTTAGTACACTGTATGCCTTCTACTACTGCCTCTACCAAAACCTACCGGTAGGTTTTAAGATCGTTCTACCAGTAGGTTTTGCCCAGAAACGCCAGAAGCCTAAAATCTCAACTCCACCTACTTCGGGAGCCCACCTCTTGTCACCCCACACATGCTCTGACATCTATGACACATTATAATGCTCTGTTACACCTAAAGCCTGATTTTTGCAGGACAAAGCATGGAGGAGGAGGAGAAAGAAGAGGAGTGGTTGGGGGAAGCATAGAAGAGGCAATGTTGGGCCTATGGTTGCTTGTAGAAGTACCTATACCCCTTCCAATGATAGGAAGTCAGCTCACATAGACCATGGGAAGTGTATGGACGGATTTGGACCAAGCTATTCTCCATTATTCAATTTTTTACACAAGTTTAGAGAGAGAAACTCAAGAAGATGAAGTTTTAGAAAGAGAAAGTCAGGTTTTCACAAGTCCTCCACCATTTTCATTCTAGCAAGATTTAAAATACTTGTAATCTTTCTTACTTTCACTTTAAACTCTTTCATTCGAGTTGTAATCTAGTTTAATCAAGTGTTTTAGCATTTCAATTTCTACATATGGGTATTTTCCTCTTTAAGCTTGTAAGTTGGGTATGAATGATATTGTTCTTGTAGTCTAAACTTTTCCTTGCATCAATACAAGTTTTATGCTTTATTTCACTACCATGTCTCATTACATTATGCTTGTTCTTTCTTTGATCATGAGTAGCTAGATTTTTAGCTGGCTAATCCAAGGGGATTTCCTCTTGGGTATGTGAAAGTGTTTTTGGTTTGACTAGGTTGAGTGTAGACGTGGTTGTAAGCTCTTGATATACCATAGACTTGTCACAACGTATACTTGAGCCTACACCTCCACATTAGTCCCTCACTTCCTACGAATCAATCAAATACCTAGGCACCATTGGTTGAATGAATTGAGTTGATTTGGCATTCCCATTGGAATGACCTCTTTGGATTAGCCAACCTTGCTTTCTTGTATTTTTATCAAAACACCACTCACCAAAACACAATTCAAAAGATTTTCTCATCTTCATTTCTTTACAAATCACCCTTCACAACAATTTGAACTTCCTTCCCTGAGGAGACGACCTTAAAATACTCATTCTAAGTAAAATATGACATTGCAAGTCTCTCTTCGCTTGGGGAGCAGTTTTGCACACACACACATTTTTGTTCATCCACAAACGATTTTTTTCATTTCATGCATTAAACCCAAGGGAGAGTGACACTCACTTATTCGTATAAGTCATATACATACAACCGGGATCATGTTTGGAGATTAGGGTGAAAAGCAAGCAAGCAAACACGTGAGGGTATTATTTGTACACGTGGTATAGATCTATGCCTCTTCACTTGCCCCTAGGAAACGTATGTCACCCGTTTTTTGCCTGACAATCGTTTCATGTTTTTATATTCATCATTACCTAGATTCCCTAGATTCATGAGACGTGTATTATACTTGCCCTGTCTCTTTGCATTAAATGTTTGTCCTTTGATTTCTAAGCATTCCCTTGTTTTTTTTTGGCGCTTGTCCATTGATTAGTGCTCAAAGTTAGCATTTTACTATGCTTTTTTGGGACTAATTGTGTTTTGATGGAGTTTAAGTAATGACACTTCAGATCCTAAAGTGAACAAGAGCTTAAGGACAACAAATATCACACTTGGATGTAACACTAGAGGATAAAGGGACAAAATTGGAATAACGTGGCACAAAGCAAGAACATTCGAACGTGGATCAACGTTCGAACATTCCCCTGAAGTGATTGAGAACCAAGCTGCTGAGACATGATGTGTTGCAGCAAAGAAAGAAGAACCACAAAAGTACTTGAGTACAACGTTCGAACGCCACTCCACGTTTGAACGTTGTCATGAGTTACTGAGGACCAAGTTGCTGAGTGCAGGGCTAGAGTTGTTCAAGATGTATGGAAGTAACCATCACAAAGACCACAGACCACTTGAGTAGGGGAGTTCAAACCCCATCTGACGTTCGAATGCCCTTAAAGCAAAAACAGACACAACGTTCGAACAACATATCACGTTCGAACCCCCTTAAAGCAAAAATACACACAACGTTTGAACGAAAGATCACGTTCGAACTTCCCTCATTGATTGACTGCAGAGTTGTTGGCTTTTCAATTGGACTTGGGCGAAAAACACTATTCCTTCACCCCCCCCCCCTCCTCTTCCTTGCCTATAAATAGCCCCATTGTGGGAGCTTCAAGGGGTGGGAAAAAAAATATTTCTCTTGTAGAATAGAGTAGAGAGCTAGTTTTTGTACATCTCTTGTTTATGTTTTCATTTTGCATTTGTATCAACCATGATGGAGGCTAAGACTCTCCTTGTAGTTGAAGTCTTTTATTTACTTGTGCTAAGTTTTTACATTTATGTTGTGACAACCATGATGGAGGCTTAGACTCCCCTTGTAGTTGTACTTGCTTTTATTTACAAGTA